AGAGTTTGTCACAGCCTAAACAACTCATCCAGCTGCGTATGTGCCTGTCCTTGGAAGTTCAGCGTGTCTTAGAACATACGTTGCAGGTACCCCCAACCTCTTCGCTGTCTGTAGAGGAGGTACTGGACGTTCTACAACGGCACATCAAAGGACAGCAGAATGAAGCTCTGCGCAGGAGGGAATTGTTTAGCTGCAGACAGATGGAGGGTGAGTCTTTTGACGCTTTTTATGTACGTCTTAAGAGAGCCTCGGAAGAGGTAGATATATGTTTAGGCCACCACCAGCAGTGCGAGGAGACCCAGTTGAAGCAGGTGATCCTGATGGGTGTTAAGGACGAGGAACTTGTCCAACGCCTCACCTCCCTCGACTCTTCCTCTTCTCTTCAGGATGTGTTGACGATATGTCGCTCCTATGAGGCTGCCAGGTGTGCCACCTCCGCCATCCGAGCTCCCCCTACAGCTGTACGCGCTGTTTCCCGGTACAAGAAGGACAAGAAGTCTGCTCCTACGCCTTCGCCCACCACGTCCACGCCCGGTTCATTTTGTAACAACTGTGGTAAGCAGCACGGAACACAGGCGTGTCCAGCTGCTGAGTCTACATGCAACAGTTGTGACCGTAAGGGCCACTGGTCACTCACAGTACGGTGCCCAGCCAAACGCGTCCAGTGCAATGTGTGCGGCCGTCTGGGCCACTATGACAAGTGTTGCCCTTCCAACAAACCCAAGGAACAGCGTCAACAACGCCGCCCACAGTCGCCTCGCATCAGTACTCCTCGCTCCAAAGTCACCCAGTACATCAGCCATCGTGACCTACGGCGGTGTGTCATCCCGTCTTCAGATGTTGCCCGACACCGGCGCTGATGCTACAGTCATCGGTCCCCAGCATTTGCGATGCTTGGGGCTCTCTCCAAGCGATCTAGGACCGCCTCCCGAGGACCTCTGCGTCATGGCAGATGGTTCACAGATGGCCCCAGCCCTGGGTTCACTCTATGCACATGTCACCTTTGGCAACAGGTCGTGTCAGGCCTGGATTGACGTGCATAATGGTGTCCCGACTCCCTTGCTGTCCTACAGACATTGTCAAGAGTTGGCCATCATCTCCCAGGACTTCCCAACACCGATTCTCGAGGTAAATTACGCCAACAGGGTGCATGAAGGGAGCAGCAACTACCCTGCTGCCGCCCTACCCCTACCTCTGGCCAGTGACACCTCTCCTTCGGTAGTTGTCCCTGCTGCATCACGTCCCCACGCCTTGGCTCGCCTTCACGACAGTCACCGTGGAGCTGAGGCCACCAAACGACGTGCACGACAGACTGTGTTCCGGCCTGGCATCGACCCCGACATCTCCAATGCTGTCCAGGTGTGTAAGCCCCGCCACGTATTACAACCCAGCCAGCAGCAGGTACCCTTCATGAGTGACGACAACCCCACCCGCCCCTTTGAGTCTGTGTCGGCCGACTTTTTCTGTGTGTCAGGAAAGTCCTTCCTGGTTATCGTCGACCGTCTCTCTGGTTGGCCGGTTGTCATCAAGGGCGGTAATGACACGACGTCTGCCGCCACCATCAGCAAGTTCCGCCACTACTTCCGTGACGTGGGCGTTCCTGTACGCCTGCGAACCGACGGAGGGCCTCAGTTCACAAGCCGGGACTTTGCTGTGTTCCTCGACCGATGGGGAGTCCGGCATGTGTTGTCATCGCCCCATTACCCGCAGTCCAACGGCCACGCTGAGGCTGCTGTCAAATCCCTGAAGCACCTCATCCTTAAGGTGGCCCCTTCTGGGAACATTGACTGCGAGGCCTTCGACCGGGGTCTTCTTGAACTCCGCAACACACCTAACTACACCGGACGCTCCCCTGCCCAGGTTTTGTATGGACGCCCCCTTCGTTCTTGTGTCCCTGCTCACCCTCAATCCTTCTCCAAGGAGTGGCAGGCCAAGACAGAGGATTGTGATCGCCGAGCCGCCGAACGTGTTCAGGACGTCGTCGCCCGCTACAACGACCACGCCCGTTCTCTCCCCAGGTTGAGTGTCGGCACCCAAGTCCGTGTTCAGGACCCGACCTCCCTACGTTGGGACAAAGTAGGCGTAGTCATGGGTCTCGGCAGGTCACGGGACTACCAGGTGCGGTTACCCAGTGGTCGTGTGTGGTGGAGGAACCGCCGTTTTCTCCGCCCCGTAACACTGCCTTCTGCTGGCCCCGCCACCAGTGTTGAGTCCCATACCCTTCCCAGTGATGAAGTCCCTCGACGCTCAGAACGGATCCAGAAGAAAAGGTCCGCTCAAGACTTTGCTATGAGCGTATAGGGGGGAGGGAGGTGTATGTATATTATGTATGCTGGATTATGTATTATGTATGTATATTATGTATGTGCTCCATTTATATTTATTCAGCCTAGCTAGCAGCGTGTGGCAATGTTATTACCATATCCCACATGCTTAATTAATGTGCCTGGCGACGTATGGAAGCTGCTAATGTATCACTTGCCATACGTCGTCTATGGTAGTTGACCAGGACCTTAGCTAGGGAGCAGTGCTATCCACCTCTGTGTACATACTCTTATCCAGTAAACCGAACCTACAAAACTATACAGGTGTTTGTGTTCTCTCCTGTATATAGAACTTATTACCCAGAACATCTAACAAACTCCTCAAAAAGGATGTAGAATATACATGGAATAAAGAACATGAGGACAGTTTTAATGTCATCAAGAGCGCCTTAACGAACGCTCTAGTGTTGGCCTTTCCGGATTACACAAAAATATTTACCATGTGTACTGATGCCCCAAGCCTAGGTTTAGGGGCAGTGCTCATACAAACTGATCATCGAGGAAAATGGCGTGTATTAGCATACGCTAGTCGCACCCTCAACGATGCAGAAACAAGTTATTTAGCTATGTACTTGGAAGCATTAGCTGTAGTGTGGGCTCTCAAGCATTTTCATGTGGCCGGGAGAAATATTTCATGGGAAGAACTGGTATCTGACCATACGAGAGTTCGCACCCGACTTCAAGTATTTGCCGGGAAGTGCAAACGTGGTAGCTGATTCGCTATCTAGACACATAGCACTTGCCACGCGACTTCCTACGTTCACCCTGTCACAGTTAAGGGCGGAAAAGTTACAGGATCCACTGTGGTCCAAGGTTATATATGCCTTAGAATCGGAAGATAAGGTAAAATTTCCCAAATTACCTCAACCACTCTCACAGTTTAAGCTGCGGCCCAACATACTATAGCGCTTAGTGAAAACACAACAAGAGTCAATCGCTCAAATTGTTATTTCTACATCATTAAACAAACACACCATCATCCTCCTCCATGATGCACCCCAGCTGGGCATCCAGGGCGACACAGATGTCTAACAGAAATTAGACAAAAATATTATTGGAAAACTATGAGGACCGACATTGAGCATCACATTGCTAAAAGTTTATCTTGTGGTGCAAAACACAAAGGGAGAACGATGAATCCCGCTCCAATCTTAGAAGACCCGACGCCGGAACGTCCATGGGATACAGATGTGATCGATTTAATGCAACTACCAAAAAGCCACCAAGGCTCTAGTTACGGACTTGTCTGCGTTGACCACTTCTCTAGATCTGTGGTACTAGCACCATTGCTGAACAAGTCGGCTGACTCAGTGGCTCATGCATTAGTCACTGCTCTTATCTGTCCGTTTTCTACACCTAGATTGATACTCTCAGATAACGGGGCAGAATTTAAGAATAAACTCAACTGCAATATGTCAACAATGCGACATCAAACAAACCATCACAACCGCCTACCATCCATCTTCAAATGGATTGGTGGAGCTTTCAAATAGAAAATTTTTTGAGATTCTCCGACATGTGGTGAATCCAAGCACCTGTCTTCCACAAGGGAGGTACTACCGCCTGGGCAGATATTGGAAGCATAATGTGTTGTCTAATGGTAGACCCTGCTGCCATATGGCATCCCAAAAATTGTGACCAAGTCCCAGGTTGCTGATCTGACTTTCTGCCTTATTTACAAATAATTGCAGGATTTCAATTGTTTCTCTTACTATTGACAACACAACATATACACTATATACAGGTATATCGTTTCTCACTCTTGATTTATTTTTTCGTTTGTGTATCTATTTATGGTTATTATTATTATTATTATTAGTAGTAGTAGTAGTAGTAGTAGTAGTATTTTTTTGGTTATAATTTTTGTTTTTAATAATTATTATTAGATATATTTATTAAACACAATTATTATTATTATTATTATTATTATTATTATTATTGTTATTATTATTATTAGTAGTAGTAATATTATTATACTTTCGCCCCCCAGGCCCTGTTGTGGCTCAGTGACCTGTTCTCGGGTGGACTAATCCCCATAAAAAAATGTAAATGGAAGTGTTTACTGTATTCCATGAAGCAATTGTAATGGGAATTATGTAGGTCAGACTGGGAAAGCATTGCAACTTAGAATTAAACAGCACAAGTAAAATATTAGAACGGCATCTGAAAGCAGTGCACTTTTCGTTCATACAAGGAACAATAATCATCCCATAGATTGGGAAAACATTTTAGAAATGTATAAATCATAATGCGTCACAGAAAGACTTTTAGTTGAAACAAGTTTGATTAGAGAAATGTATTCTTTAAACCTTAGTGATGGTCAGTACAAAACTGATATGTTACACAAATTTATTTGTCAGTGGCCCAAGGTTAAAAATGCTTTTAAAGCATGTAAGGTAGATGTATGATAAATGATTAGCGGGTCTCATATTTCTTACCAGACGTGACATGACTAGTTATGTCGCCGGTTCTTATAATCTCTTCTTATGTTTGCTGTGTGGATTAGTGGATGTCATGTTTTTTTACCTGACCTCATGTTTTGTAAGGTCACCCTGTGTACATAAGCTCTCTCTCAGTCTTTGTAATTCAGTTGCCTCTGAAGATGTCTTGAATAAAGGTGCGCGTAATCCATCTATATGCTGATAACTACATAGAAAACAAGACACGACAAATTACCTGCAATTCTGGCGCAAGCGTAGTAGTCGCCGATACTCTCAATTATGGAGGCAAAGATACCAGCCAGCATGCCTAACACCCCAGACGCAGACACTGTTGGCGCACCCCATTGACCTGTGGACACAAATACCCAATGCTTACTCTCAAGGAATATTACTTCTGGTCACATAATAGAACATGTGAAATATCTTTTATATCAATTGCACGTGGAACTACACTACTCGGTAGGTATTTGCGATATTTTTATATGAATCTTGTAAAAGAAGTCAATGTTTTACATAATATCGACATCAATCATGTTCCTAATTACACATTACAGACCAGATAAATTATTCATACACTGAATTTTTATAGTTAAGTTACAGTATTTATACACTGATATTTAGAGATTACTCATTACATTCACAACACGACATATTATTCAAGGTATAGTTGGGTACTTTTCCGATTAGTACACTCATCTATGTCAATCCACCTAACCTCACCTTATGTACAGTATTTCAGGTATGTGTTGAGGCCATCGTGAAAAATCCAAGGAAAATTGGTGGCCCATAAGAACATAAGGAGTCCGCAATAGGCCAGTTGGCCTGTGCATTAGGGTGTGTCATAGGAGGGAAGATCAGCTAAAACTAATGGCCCATCACTTTTTTGGTAGATTTTAGTGTACATAAACAGAAAATAATTTCAGTTTCAATATTTTGCAACCTTTTGCTAGGTAAATTTTAGCGTGAAATTTATCGAAAATCTAACGTACAGCTGCATTAGTGCATTACAATTAAATAGTGAACATTGCTTTCTGACTTCATTCTTTAACAACCCAATGTTACGAGTTGGGGATTTAGAATATAGTTATACGTCTACCCAGATCCCAACAGGTAACAAAAAAACAAAACAAAGACAATCGGACTATAAAAGGGTAGACAAAGGATGCGAGTTTTCGTTGAGTATAATAGAGTACCATAAGTTCCTTAACAAAATATTCAGCTTATAAATTACCCTTAACCAAACTTAACCTAAACATTAACAGTATATACATATTAATACAACATAAACAATTTTGAAGCAAGTGGACGTGAGGCAATACAAGATACAAGTACTTAAGTGATGAGCTGAGATGGCTGACGAGTAAGGCTGAGTATTGTAGAAGACGGTAGGTAGTCACTGTCCGTAGGTTTAGAGGATAGATGATCCTGTGGTCACTTCCCAGAGCCAAGTCCTCTCTCCTCGAATTGGAGCTGACAAAGAAGACTTTCAGGTGGTGACGCAACAACCAGGATATGGAGAAGAGAAACCCCGGAGTGGTAACTAAGACGAGTCATACTCGTGTCTCGTCCCTAGATGGCGTTGCTCGTGGTGCTGGGTAGGTAGATCAAGACAATAGATGGCGTGGTTCGTAGTGCTGGGTGGAGGGGTTCGTAACACACCCCCCCCTCTAAAGACCTCCGTAGCGCGGTCGCGAAGGAGGTGATCAACTGGTGCGTCTGGAGAGTAGCTGCTGCATTTCCACTGGAGCTCGGGATAAGGAGTCTGCAATCAGGTTGTCGACCCCCTTTATGTGCCGGACTTGTAGATTATAGGGCTGGGTGAGGAGAGCCCAGCGGAGGATTCGCTGGTTGGAGGTCTTGTTGGTTTGGATGAACGTGAGTGGGTTATGGTCGGTGAAGACTAGAGTTGTTTGTGGGCAAGACTGGAGGTAACATTCAAACTTCTTTATTGCCAACACCAGAGCCAGGGCCTCCTTCTCTATGGTCGAGTAGTTGGTCTGATGTTTTTTCAACTTGGCGGAGTAATACGCCACAGGGTGAAGAACATCAGTGGTTGGGTCGGGTTGTAGGAGCACAGACCCCACTCCGACACCACTAGCGTCGATTTGCAGATGGAAGGGCGAGGTGTAGTCAGGGGGGTGGACTACAGGCTTGGAGGCAAGGAAGGCTTTGAGGCGGTGGAAAGACTGGTCGCACCTCTGGTTCCAGATGTAAGGGACCGCAGAACTGGTAAGGTCTGTGAGGGGTCCGGCCACGCTGGAGAAGTTACTGCAGAACCGACGGTAGTAGCCGCACATCCCCAGGAAGCGCATGAGTTCCTTCCTCGTCCTTGGAGTGGGGAAGGACAAGATGGCTTTAACGTTTGCGTCCTTGGGTCTCACCATACCATGCCCAACGATATGTCCCAGGTAAGTCACTGAGGCCCGGCCAAAAGCAGATTTAGCCAGGTTTATGGTGAATCCAGTCTCTTGCAGTCGTGCAAACAGTATCTCCAAACGCACCAGATGTTCGTCCCAGCTGTCCGACACCACCACCAGGTCATCCAGGTAGGCGAACGTCCCACCTAGGTCCTGAATAAGGTAGTTGATGGCCCTCTGGAATGTGGCCGGAGCATTAGAAAAGCCAAACGCCATAACCAAATATTGAAAAAGACCAAATGGAGTTATAAATGCCGAGATTATTTTTGCCCTATCCGTGAGTCCCACTTGATAATATCCTTTCAATAAGTCCACGTACTGATAAATTTGGCACAGCCTATGCTGTCTATTATATCTTCAATCAAAGGTAAAGGGTAGGAGTCCGAGACAGTGACCTGGTTCACTTTACGATAATCGGTACAGAAACGAAAAGTGCCATCGGGTTTTGGAATGAGAAGGCAAGGTGAAGCCCAGGGGGAGGTACTAGGCTCAGCTAAGTTATGTTTTAACAAAAAATCTACCTCCTTTTTCATAATCTCTTTTTTTGTGGATTTAGTCGATAGGCTGATTGCCTAATGGGTTGTACATCATCTGAGATTAGCTTAATATCATGTTTAAGTATATTGCAAAACCCTGGGAGGTCTGACGTGACTTCATGAATTGTTGATAATAACTTAGTGAGATCTTTTGCTTGAGAGGGATTCAAAACAGAAAAATACTCATCCAAGTTGTTGAGTATGTGACTGTTAGCAGGGTTTTCTTTAGGTAGAGGGAAGTCTAAATTCTCCAATAGATCCATGTCATCTGTCTCCGGCTCCGGCCCTGACAAAACCATATGCAATACAGGTTGACTTATAGCCTCTGGGATATCTTCCTCTGACTGCCTGGAATGGTAAAGTTTCATGAGATTAATGTGAACAAGTTGTGAATCTTTTCTGCGATCAGGAGTATGGACTATATAGTTGAGAGGAGATAGTTTATTAGCAACTATATAGGGACCAGTAAACTTGCTTTTAAGGGGAGAGCCTGGAATGGGTAGAAAGAGTAACACTTTGTCACCTGGAGAAAATGATCTTTTAACTAATTTAGGTTGGGACTTCACCATTTTTTCTTGGACTTTTTTTAAGTTTGACTGAGCAATGGTTCGGACTTCAGTTAATTTGTCCCTTAAAGTGTCAATGTATTGGGAAACTGTTGCGGGCTTAATAGATGGAGTGTCAAACCACTGCTCCTTTACTATTTTAAGGGGTCCCCTAATTTGTCTCCCATATAGTAACTCGAACGGGGAGAAACCCAATGACTCCTGGGGACATTCCCTGATGGCAAAGAGTAACAAGTCTATGCTTTCATCCCATTCCTTTTGGTGTTCTATACAGTATTTTTTTATCATTGATTTGAAAGTTTGATGGAACCGTTCCAAGCAACCTTGGGATTGTGGGTGGTAAGCCGAAGATGTACAATGGTCCACACTGAGGTCTTTCATCACCTGTTTGAAAAGATTGCTCGTAAAATTGGTGCCCTGATCGGATTGGATCTCTTTAGGAATGCCCACTGAAGTGAAAAGGTGCAAAAGATGTTTGATTACGTTTTTTGAAGTGATGCTTTTAAGGGGAAAAGCCTCAGGATAACGTGTACTGGTATCCATAACTGTGAGCAGGAATTGATTTCCCTTCTTAGTCTTTGGTAATGGGCCCACACAATCCACAACAATCTTTTCAAATGGTGTAGAAAATACTGGGATGGGCTTAATGGGAGCTGCTGGTATACTTTCATTTGGTTTTCCTACCATTTGACAAATATGACAAGATTTTAGGTATTTTGACACATCCTTCCTAAGTCCAGGCCAATAATAGTGTTGGAGGAGCTTTTTATATGTTTTCAGGATTCCCAAATGTCCTGAAATACCATCATGGGCAAGGGCAATTAATGCTGGTCTGACTGAGGTGGGAATTACCACTTGATGTATTTCAGACCACGTGTCTAGATGGGCAAGCTCAGGGGTCCTATAGGCCCTCATCAAAACCCCTTCATGATAATAAAAACATGGAAGGGTGTTAAAATCTTTACCCTCAACTGCTGCATGATGAAGTTTATTCAAAGATGGATCAGATTGTTGGGCTTTAACGAGCTCATCCTTACTAATGGTCTTTTTGTACAGATCTTCTGTGGGTAGGAAGATATTAGAGGTGGTTTTAGATGAAGAGGGCCCATTTCGCACACTCTGTGACCGGGTGACAGCACAAGATGGGAAAAGATGAGGAATAGTTTCTTTAAGGTCAGTGGTGGAGTTGACAGGTAAGGGAGAGTCGACTGTCTTTATGTTAGGAACCACTAGATCTCCTACCAAGTCATTACCCAATAATAAATGAATGCCGCACACAGGCATTGGGTCTTTCCTAATGGCTATTTGCACTTCCCCAGTAATCAAGGGACATTGGAGGTGCACTTTAGCTAAAGGATAGGAAGAATGGGATGAGAGATCTGAAATTAGAACACTCTCATTAGTAAATGCGGTAGATATATCGGGAATGACGTTAAACAGGAGGATAGATTGTGCTGCGCCCGTATCACGTAGTATACGAATAGGGAAAGAACGAGACCCCTCTATGATTGAAATTTTTCCCTCATAGGTGAATGAAGAGAAGAGATCCTGATGGGGCCTTTCCACATTGGTATTTGCTTTTGGTTTGGATTTGGGATCCAGGGAACTACTTTTAGCAATTCGACACTTTGGGTGTTTACAATTCTGGATCGTATGGCCTGGGTTTTTACAGTAAGAACAAGTAAGCTTGGGTGCATCGGGCAAAGTAGGTGTTGGACCTTTCGACCTACCACTCACGTCCCCAAGGTTATCATCAGAGGAGGACCTAACATGTCGGGAAGTACCACGTTCTCTACTGCCCAGTGACTCCACCAACAAAGCGTACGCATC